GGGGGTGGTCAATCCCCGTCAATCCCCGTGAGCGTGCGGTTTGGGGGGCACGCAAGCACGCGGAAAAGAAAGAGAAAAAAGAGAGAGAAAGAGAGAGAGAAAGAGAGAGAGAGAAAGAGAGAGAGAGAGAGAGAGAGAGAGAGAGAGAGAGAGAGAGAGAGAGAGAGAGAGAGAGAGAGAGAGAGAGTACCGTACAAAGCTTTGGAATAAAATATATTTTGGCTGCAAGTTGAGCTGTATGTCGGACAACTTCACAGAACTTTGGTAATGCTTTCTTGGACTTCTGGAATTGATAAGCCATTACGATCCTCTCCTTGCAGAACATCTTAGAAAAGTTGAAAAATGATATAAGGAAGAAAGGCACCTACAAGTTCACTATCTATCACCAGAAAGTCAAAATGAATTGATCCAATGTCATGTTGTGCATCAAAAGGGACAGACATGATTTTGAATGAAAGAGCGGAAACGATATATTACTCCAATATCGTTGATGCAACACCAGACCCTTCACACGACGAGCAAACGGGTTTTATTTTGCGTTATATTCACTTGGACAGTGATGCAAATGTCTACAAAGTACAATGTAGAAGAGGAATTTCAGGAATGTGTAGATTGTAACAAGAAAACAGGAGAAGACATCGCTAAATTTATCCTTGATACAATGAATGAAAAAAAAACATACCAATTACAGACTGCCGAGGCCAAGCTACGACAACGGTAGCAACATGTGTGATCTGTCTGTATAATGGTGTACAAGCTCACATTTTAAAACAGTGTTCACCTGCCACATACTCTCTCTGTGGCTGTCATAGTTTGAATTTATGTGGTGTGCATTCTGCAGAAAGCTGTTCAACGGTCATAACTTTCTTTGCAGTTGTACAGAAGCTGTATAACATTTTTAGCTCCAGTCCACAAAGGTGGGAAATTTGGAAGCAAAACTTTCCCAGCTCTTTGCACAGTATGTCTCAGACACGTTGGTCAGCACGTGTTGACAGTGTCAGGCCTTTTGCGGCTCGCATCGGGGGACTGAGGAAAGCTGTTCAAACTGTTCTTCAAATGAACCTCCACCCAGAAACACGTTCAGATTTGATTGGTATTCTTAAGTACTTTGCATCATTAGAATGTGTGATAATGGCATCTGTTTGGCTCAAAATGCAATCGATCTCAGAAATACAGTGTTTCAAGCACGAGATGCGACGCTTGACGTTGAGGTGGCAAATATCAATAGTCAGGTTAAAGATTTGAAAAGCTTACGACCCCATTGACATGGCACTGGACTCTGTAGAAAATTCCCCTAACAAATCTTTCCTTATCCTTTCTGACTCTCTGTCTTGCATCACCTCACTCACAAACTACACACTCCTACACCCAAAAATAGTTAGGCTACAACAGAAAATCCATACACTATCCGAAACAGGAAAAAACATCATGTTCGCATGGATACCCAGCCATGTGGGCATCCGAGGAAACGAGCAGGTAGACGACCTGGAGAAAGAAAGCTTCATCCCTTCTGCTGGGATCAACGAAAAACACTCTCCCACAGACTGACTTTAGAAATAAAGTCAAAAAGTACACCTCCAGTCTGTGGGAGAGCCACTGGGAAAACCAGAAAAATAATAAATTATATGAAATTAAACCCAGACTAGAACAGCGAAATCCTTCGGATCTCTCCAGAAGAGACGAAGTCATTTTTACTCGATTGCGCATCGGACACACGGCCCTGACCCACAAATACCTCCTACAGGGAGAGGAGAAGCCGTTCTGTGTCGGATGCGACACAGATTTTACCATTAGACACATTTTAACAGAATGTCTAGACTTTGGAGAGATCCGAAGGAAATATTATAAATGCAAGAAATTGCAGGATATTTTTTCCGTCGTTGTTCCCAGCAGAATTTAAAATTTTATAAAGGCCATTGGCCTTTATGGCGAGTTGTAGAGTGAATTTGATATTATTAAAAAGTTTTATTGTTACTTAAAAGTTGTTTTAGATCACAAATGTATTTACACCAAATTTGAATATTTTAACTTTTTAGCATTTTAAAGTAAATTAGTTAGCCAGTCGTGAAGTGAACTTTCGCAGAGGTGAAACAACTTGTGTTTCGCGCGCTCATATGTCCTTAGCAGTTGCGAGCGCCGTAAAACCTTATACTATACATACAAAGCTTACGAAATGAATGAGACGCAATCTTGAGTGAGTCCAAATTAGTAGCAGATAACTGTGAGATTGAGCATGCATTCGCCGAAACAGCAAAACGACAAAAGAAAAGGAAACATTTTGAAGACGGGGTAGAGGATGTAACAGACTACCAAAATCCCGAGAACAAATTCAAACATGAAGTTTTTTATGTCCTCATTGACTGCCTTCTTGGAAATTTGACAACAAGGTATAATGCATTGACAAAACTCGGTTCGTTATTTAGTGTTTTATGGAAGTATCTCCAAGCACGGAACCAGCACAGGAATCAAAAGAACCAAGTTCCAAGTAAGTCTCTTGGATGGACACAAGAAAGAAGGGTTTCAACTGCAGCCGAGGAACAGATTTTAACCTCTGGCTGATCTTGACAGGGAGG